ACTTCATCCAGTTCCGCAGCATGAAGCGGGCGCGCGATGTGCGCGACCAGCTCGAGGGCCTGCTCGAGCGGGTCGAGATCGAGCAGACCTCGGCCGGCGACGACCACGTCGCCATCTGCAAGGCCACCACGGCTGGCTTCTTCTACCACACGGCCCAGCTCCAGCGATCGGGCGCCTATCGCACCCTCAAGCACAAGCAGAGCGTCCAGATCCACCCATCGTCGGCCCTCTTCCAGCAGCTCCCGCGCTGGGTGCTCTACCACGAGCTCGTCTTCACCACCAAGGAGTTCATGCGCCAGATCATCGAGATCGAGCCCGAGTGGCTCGTCGAGATCGCGCCCCACTACTACAAGCAGTCCGAGATCATGGACCAGGCCAAGCGCAAGATGCCCAAGAAGGCCGGCAGCGCCGGCGGCTTCCAGAAGTAAAGCCAAAGGGAAGGGTTGGTGCAGCAGCCCCCTTGTAATTTGCTGCTGCTGTGTGTACAGACACTGTCCCCCTTTCCCCTTTCTCTTGCCTCACACTCTTCCTCTTTCCGAACCCCCCCCCCCACCAACTCCTTTTCCAAGCGAAAGCGCTTTCGCTTTTTCAATTTTTCGTTTCGATTTTCGTTTTGTGGTCGGGCACCAAAACTGGTCCCCCCAAACCTCCCGCGCAAGCTTGAGGGAGAGAAGGAGGAGAGATGAGCACGAGCTGTGCATTGTGTCGCCTTGCACGCGCCGCATGTGACAAACACCTGGCGTACCCCCCCCCCGGGTCCTCTTCTTCCTTGTCTCCTTCTGAGGCGGAGGTGCGCTCATCTTCTTATCTGTCCTTGTGTGCGGCGTGGTGGTGGGTGGTGGTGGGTGATGGCCAGAGCTGAGCCGTGCGAGCGGTGCGTGCGGTTGAACATGGCCGGCCAGTGCTTCTGGCCGACGCCCGCCAAGCGCGGTCGCCCGCCTCGCCACCCGCACCCGACGACGGCGCAGCCGACGGTGCAGATCCTGCCGGCGGCCCCTCTCGACGCCGGTGGTGGTGGTGCCGGCGACCATGTCTACGCCGCCTCTGTACCACCACCGCAGCCGCGACCCCCGCCCGAGCCGGAAGCGGCGCCGATGACGAGGCCGACGACGACGAAGAAGCGACGACATCAGGGCGGCGACGAACAGGGTGATGGTGCGTCGGCAGCTGCAGACCTGGGCGGCGCGACGACCGCCCTTTTGGTGAACACGATCGTCGGGCTCAAGGCAGACATGCGCGCGATGACCGCCAAGATGAAGAAGATGGAGAAGAAGCTGAAGAAGAAGAAGAAGCAAGACAACAACAACAACAACAACAACATCGATGTGGTGGTGGTCGAGTTGCAGCGACGCGTGGAGCAGCTCGAGGAGGACAACGTCCAGCTCCGCATCCAGCTGGCGCACGTCGCCGCCTCTCGCTATGGCATGGCCGCCACCAATGCAGGCTTTTTTGCTGCACCGCCGCCGCCGCCGCCGCCGCCGCCGTCGTCGTCGTCATTCAGTTGCCAGCAGCGGTTGAGGGTGGGAGATAACGGTCAACCGGGTCCAGAGATGCTCTGGTGCTTCCCCTTCCTCCAACACTACGACATCCCGGCGGACCGCTTCGTTGTCGATGACATCCAGTACCTACTCCTCTCGCGCTGTGTGTTCACTCACTCACGCTCACGTGACTACGCGCGCGATTCAACTCGTCTCCGCGCAGAAAGGCGATCGTGGTTATGGCGCATCCGCAGGGCACAGAGAGACACATCGCGTTCGCAAACCACCAGTTCTGCGGCATTGTGGGATTCTCCATGGTACACACACACACACACACACACACACACACACAACACACACGTCTCGTGCCCATCTCTGATCGCGACTAGGTCGAGCTTCTCGGCCGCCAGATCTTGGGTGTCTCGTCGCTGCACGAAAAGCACAAGCTCCACCATGCATTGCAGACCAGGTACCCACAGCACCGCACAGCACCGCACACCGCACACACCGCACACACCGGGAGAGATGCGAAGAGAGGCTGACTGGGAGGGAGCGCGCAGAGGGCAGATGGGGTACAGCGAGAGCACCCCGTGCTTCCTCCAGCTCGAATGCAAGGGGACCCACTTCGCCAAGGTCGCGTCACGCGCTCAGTTCTTCTTTGGCGCCGACGCCCAGGTGCGCGCCGCCGCCTCCACCCTCGCCATCACGCTCGCGCGCTGTTTAGGACGCAACTGTTAGAACCGTCGTGCTCACGCATCTCTCACGCCTTCCAGCTTCAGTACTCTGTGCTGTGCGTCGATCAAGTGCTGGGAGTGGATCTCGTGTCTTTCACAATCGAAGGTAGCGCCTCTTTCTCTCTCTCTCTCTCTCTTGTTTCTGATCGAGATGTGACCTCGTGCGTTCTACTTCGCGCGCGCAGAGGCACGCAAGAAGGAGGAGGCGGAGTGGGCGCTGGTGTTTAGCATTGCGGCACGACCGCAATGACGACGACGGCACCTCTTCATCGCTCACCCCGCCCTCCGTATCGCCTGCAGCTAGCGAGGGCTTGTGCGACGAGGACGACTACTCCTTTGGCGACTTCATCTCATCACCATCAGCGATCTGGGCTGTGCCCGAGGCTATGCCACCAAACCGCCAAACATAACGTGCGTGATTGCGGCGAGGGGCATGATTTCCGAATGTTTTTTGTATAGATTTTGGTTTGTGCGTGTTACGTGGCCGAACCGAACGAAACGACCAGCTCGCCACAGTCCCGCACCGAGATCTTGTCAAAGGCCGAGGCCAGCGCGCCACCGCCGTCGAGCAACTGGACGAGACCCACCGCGCCCACCGCGATTTGCGTGAGTCACAAGAAGAAGAAGAAACAACGCGGCGCGAGAGCGGATTGATTGCGGAGAGTAGTTGATGGGGGGGAGGAGGGTACCAGCTCCTTGTCGTGAGAGGAGAGGGTGGGCTGGGAGAGGGCCTTGACGGGCGACGAGACCGTCTTGGAGGGCGCGGGCACCGCGAAGAGGTCCAGCGCGGCCGTGTTGACGTTGGTCTTCTTCAGAATTTGTCGGCTCCTGCAGCCCAGCGAAGCGCGGCGATTAGGCCAAACCACAGACGCGCGCGCAAGCGGACGAGGAGTGGCTGGAAGGTGGTCGGCGTACTGGTATTCCTTCTGGCGGGACTGGGCCACGGCCGAGTCGAAGGCGGCGTTGGAGCTCTGTGAGACGTCGATGAGGTTCCTGTGGTTGTGCACAGCCATAGGCCATGTTAGGCACAGGAGCGCGGTTGATCTGAAGGGCAAAAGTTTCGCGGTGTAAAAAGAGCAAAGAGTAGCGGTACTGAGATGTGCGTTCGACGAGGTTCTTGAGGAAGTCGCTGTCGGCCTCGCGCTTCTCGTGGTACGAGGCTGCGATGGCAGCGTCGGCCCTGCAAAGAGGAAAATGGTACAAAGAATGCGAAAGAGATGAGCCAAGGTGTACAAATGTGATTAATAGGATGCAACACAAAATGGGCCAAAACAGCTGAAAAAGGAGGCGTACTTGGCCGGTGTGGGAGGGGCGCCGATGGGACGCGATCCACCGCTACCGCCCTTGGCCGCACCCTGGGCGCCACCAGCGGGCCTTCGGTCACGAGATTGCTGGATATCTAATTGACAAAAAATTAGAAAATCTTGATCGTCGTATGCAGCACCTGGGCATCCAGAGCTTTCGCCTCGTACGAAAGAAGTACCTTCGGCCTTCGAGCTGTTGCACCCCATTTCAATTCGCGTACGTCTATCTACACTTCGTACTTTTGATTGATCAACGGCGAAATCGAGGTTCTTTCTCTCCCTTTCTTCTCCAGTTATGCATGGCACGCAGCATTCCTCCCACACATTCTTCAAGCGGAATCCAAAGAATGCACCCATGCTTTTTCACTGCTGAGCAACACGGCGGATCGCTCGAAGGAAAGTTCGGTGGACGGGCGAGTCCCGAAAACACGATCGACACGACCCACAACAAGGAAGCAGCTTGTCCTGTTTCTTTGGTGGGATTTCTGGACAAGAAGGCGGCGTAGCCTTGTGATTCAGGGAAGCGTTCGAGCAACGCGCCAAGGAATCCTCTTGCAGCTCCATCCAACCATCATCTGGGGGTGTGCATTTCTCCTCTCCATCTCAGCACGCACATCCATCCACTCCAGAAATTAGAAGCAAGAGGGAACAATAGATCCGACAACGAAGAGTGAATCCTAAAGCGATCGGATTTGAATGACCCGAGACGAGGACGCCATTTCTTTCATATACTGCAAGCACTACAGCTCCTCCTACCCTCAGTTCGTCTCCTATCCCCTTACGGCTTGATCTGGTGCAGTGCACAATCAAGGAAGATCAGCCATGACCGATGATGTTGAGGGTAGGCTCCCCATCTTCATATCCGAGTAGCACACGAGATCTTGCATCTCATCTCCAGCCTCATCCACAGGAGAATGGAGAGTGATCGATGGCGACGAGCCAGTGCCTGCCTCAGTTGGGGCGGGACAGCCGTCGCCTGCGAAGAAGATGCGCAAGCCCTTCGCCTTCAACAATCTCTTCATTAACACCAAATCCAAATTCTACAATCTCTGCAAACCCAGTACGTTCCGCCTCCTCTCTAGAGATCGAACGAACAGCCTCGATGTCTTCTTACGCGGGTCTCCACATGTGCAGTGAGCAAGACGTTGCCAGACTTCACCACCTCGCCCGTGGTTATGCTGGGCAT